TTCAACCTATTTCATAATCATAAACATAAATAATATCATACCCCATTAAGTATCCAACAGGTGCATTATAACATCTCTATTTCAAGAGAACAATCAATCACATGGAAATGGCTAACAATCAAAATTTTTCAGATTTCGTGAAATAACTTGTAAAATTCATAACTAATTCGATACAAGTCCAAACATCATGAAACCATCAAAGTTTTCTTCCTTTAAATGTCTACTATAATATAAAATTACATTCAAAATACAAAAGCTTCCAAAGAATCAATCAAGTCTCATTTTACCTCTGTTATTGTTAGGTCATTTCACTAAACAACAAGTATATTGAAAAATTTGTAATAAATTCAATTCTCATCCAAAACACATGTGACCAGTGAGATTATTTTCTTTGTTATGTATATTTTTAAATAAAAATACTTTCAAAATCAAAATATTTACATATATCAATTCGTGCTTTAATTTCTCAATACACGTCACAGGTTAGCATAATTCAGCTACAAATTATTGGAAAAATCATAAGTCACTAATTCACCATCAAAATTCATGAATCCAGTGGCATTCTTTCACTTTGGTTATATAGTTTCACAAAAAAATACAAGCAATAATTCATCACTTTCATATTTCAAAACCAGTCCTAATTATTCTCTATTACTCACAGTAACTTACTTCTCAGAATATGTTAAATAGAAAAATCATAACTATTTTATTTTAAGTCCAAAATTAATCAAACAAGTGATGATATTTTCTATATAGTATCTATTTTAGTTAAAAATAATAATAATAAAATAACTCCATATATATATCCTTAAAAAAGAAATCAAGTTTCTCAGGAACATGCACAAAACATTACTTTCATATAACAGAATCTTGAGAAAATCATAAGTATTTTGTTTTAACTCCAAGTTGAGCAAACTTACTCACCATGATTTACTTATGAAGTCTAATTTTGTACAAAAATATAAATAAAATAATATCATGCATGAAATTTAAGATGAAAGGAATTTAAAGCGAGCCATTCTAAGGAAATCATTTACACACAGCATAATATTCAAAAATTCATATGTAATTTGTTTCAAATCCAAATCAAGTGAAATCAGTAATAAATATTCCACTAAGAAGTATATTTTCATAAAAAATAAATATAAAATAATGCACAATATTAAAATGAAATTGAATCAAGACATATTGCTCCTAGAATACTATTTTCATGTAGCAGAAACTTAGAAAAATCATAACTCATTCAATTTAAATCCAAATAAAGTAAAATAAATAAGTAATTTCTCATCATTCAGTCATCTATTCAAATAAAATATCAATAAAAATTTTCACAAAAAAATCCTTGTAATGATTTTAAAATTACAGTTTAGTCCCAACTTTACATTATTTGCAAGAGTCCTTTTATCAATTTTTGGTAATTTTTAGATAGTGTAGCACATTTCTAATGAGTTTATGGGTCTTGAATAATGTCTCTACAAGTTCTAAAACATTCTCTTGGTTCGACCACACATGTGGTCAAGTGTCTTGCACTTTTAAGGTATATTTTGGTCCAAAATCATAGTCCATCATCATGCCAAGATTCAATCATTCATATTTATTCTTAGATCTTTATTTTTATCATATTTCTCATATATTCCAAAGGTTCCAAATATGTTGAAGGTTCCATAGGTCCTCCTCATAGTCATTTTTCATTTCTAGTCCATTTCTTATTAAAGTTTCATATGAAAATCTTCAATAATGTCCTTAAAAATACTTTTTAACTCCAACATAATCCAAGCCAAAGAGAAAACCATAGATCTTACTTAATTATTCTCAAATCAAGTCACACAACATGGATCAAAGAGAAAAATTTCAGAATACACATTTAGAAACCTTTTTTTTTTTATATAGAAAACCTATATTTATTCCATGATAGAAAATATGCAAATTCATAGAAAATTCCTAAAGTCCATCTAATCAATTTCCAAAGCATAAATCCACATGAATATATCATGGATTTATGAAAATAACACATAGCAACCAAAGTCATCAACAAAATTCCATTAAAATACTATTTTATAGTTAATTTTGATTTTTCTGCAAAACTTCCTCTTTTTGCTATTTTAATGGTTTTCTTGTGTATTATTTTTTCAATCAATTTTTCTTTCATATGTACACTAAGGGCACAAAATTTTCATCATATAAAAAAGGTTAAAGGCTCCCCTTTGACTAAAAAATTCATTTAGCAAAGTATTCCCTAAATTTATGAAATAATACTCCCGCCTTACTTGATTTTTGGTTGATCGTAGCTTGATCTTGTGAAGTCTTCTTTCTCTCCTTCTCTTACTCTTTTCCTCCTCTTGAAGTTGATCTTCCACCTCCTTTGGTCTCCTCTTTAACAGGATCAAGGCCTCCATCAAGAAAGTTGGTTGCTTTGTCGATTTTGTGGGGCTTAATGTCTACTTTAGGACTTTTATGGTAAGTTGATGGATGATTCAACTTGGTGGAGTTCAAGGGATGGATGTGACACTGATTGTAGAAATGTTTGAAGGTTGATAAGTTTGGAAACTCAACCTTCCTTACTTGATTGCTCCATTCTTATGTGAAAGTGGCTTTCTTTCTATGCATGGAGTTTTAAAAATTTTTGGCTTCTTTCTCTCTCTCTCTTGGCCCCTCATGGTTGCTCCCTCTTGTTGAAAGTGTGGATATTTTCATTTGGGGTCTAATTGAGGCTTCTCTCATAAGCCTAGACATGACCATCTTTCTTAATGCCAAAATTTCTCTCCATCATGACTCTTGTCATTAGATTCCTCATCCAATTGTACTCAAATCCTCTTAGTTGCTTTCTAATTCTTTTATTTGCTTTAGAATGTATCTTCTAGTCCCATTTGGCTAGGGTAATCACAGTTCCTAAGTTTAAAATTGGAGGAAAATTGAATCTTGCACCTTATTCAAGCTTTTAATCATGAAACCTTGACTTGCCTTCCTTTCTTATTGGTTACTTCATTTCAGCTTCTTCCATACTTCAATTACTAGTCAATTGACTTCTCTTTCAAGCCAAGAAAACGTGCAAATTGAATTGGGTTGGGTAGGTTACAAATTTTGCAAGTTTTTGGCATAAAATAGGTCTTTTTTCACATCATATTGGACTGTTTTTGAGGAATTTGATTTGAATTTTATACTTGAATTTTGGCTTATTCTTGAATGTCCATAATTTTATTTGATCCAATAACATATCATAAAAATTTCAGAATTCATCGCATTCATTTACTTGTCCAAAAGCTAGGTGTTTTAGAAGTATTTTGGTCATTTTAGTCAAATTTTTTATATTTATTTATTTTATATTTTTGATTCTGTATAAATCTCTCATAATTAATATAAAACTATTCTAGATAGTCTAAAATTGTTAAATAATTTTTTTGGATATTTATTTCTTTTTTTATTACCTGATTTTTTATTGATCAAACCTATTTTGTTAAAAAAATTTAGTTATAAAGATTCTATACTCTATTTAAATGAAATTGATATAATTCAACAATTATTTATAAAGTGAAAAAAATTTGGAGTGTTACTTTGAAACTAAGTCCTACTTTTGGTTAAAATTCCTAATCATGCAATATTGACTTTGGCTGACTTATCTTCATTTCCCATTGGTTCTTCCTTTCCAGCTGGGTTAAGGCATTAATAAAATCTTGACTTATCTTTCAAGAATAATTAGCTGTCCAAGTGGTTCCCAAATGGTCTTGGATTGTTGCCTAAGTTTTCACACAATTTTGGGTCAAAATCAAGTTAATTCAAAAATTATTTTGCAAGATTTTTATGCAATTTTTTCTTAGGCTTTTAGGTCTCCTCCTTACACACCATTCTAAAGCCTATTTTGAACTATTTCTTTGTTTTGATTAATTTTGTAACCTGTATTTTCAATTCCTTTTTTGTCTCTTCAAAATTAATAAAAGTGGAGCATTTGCATTTCTCTCACAGCACCTTGGAATTAGGAATGTACTGATTCAATACCACGTGAAGCATGTCCAATGAATGAGATTGACATCTCCTGTATCTAGATCTCCTGCAGTTTGTATATCCATTTTAGGTGCCCCGTGAGTGGTTGCTGATTGGTCAACTACGGCTAAAATTTCAATTGGGTGGAACCAAAGAATCTCATAATTCTATTTTAATATGCGAAAACGAAAGAGCGGCAGTGAAGCTGTTCCCATCTATGATCCATCCCTTTGGCTCACATCTATAACCGGATTTTCAGATATTTGTTTGCTGTTAAAAAAATTATTATACTTTGACATTAGTTTTCATTATATAATATAAGAGAAAAATACATACTGACGCTTATTATTATTTATATAAGATTCATCAGTTTTATTGCCCATTTCTATCTCACAATATAATATGAAGATAAAAACTAATTTCATATAAATACGATTTAATTAATTTTTATAAATTTTTATAAATTTTATTGTTTACAAGAATAAAAAATGAAAATTTGAATAAAATTATAATAAATTTAAAAAAATAATACCAAGCAGGAAAAACTTTACTACCGATAATGACATTAGGATTACTTTCGGAGGAGAAATCCCATTTTTCAAAAAGAAATATTAAATTTATGAAATAATATTATCTGAATATTTTTTAACATTAGAGTATCTAAGTCTATAAAATTAAAATTACTATGAATCCTGACAACGAAGACATCCCAATCCCAAATAATTGAAGGATCTTTTCCCCTTTTTCATAGCTTGTTTAAATCGCATTCAACATTGTCGATACTATTCAACGAGCGCATGGCTCTCTGATTGCTAACACGCCAAAAAGACAAAGGACCCTTTAATAATTTGTTTGAAATAAAACAATAGCAGCACCAAATGAAGTCTGAATAGGCGTGACAACAATCAAGCACTCAAGACATTGGGTTTAGCACCAAATTTTATTTGAAGTGGCATGGACCCACTATTCACGTTCACACATACTATAGTAATATAATAACTAATTCAAATCCTCTCACGCTGAACAAATATTGTATCAGATAGAGAGAAAAATATACAATTTTTATTAAATAGAAATTAAACTTACTAAGTAAAATTAATAAAAATGTCCTTTAAATAGTGAAATAGTACCTTACTATATTCCTTGCTTTGCATTCAACCTTCATCGCCATCACAGGATCAGTGCGGAGACGGAGAAGGCACAACATAAAGCATCCCCAAAGCACAACTGCTCAGATCTTACCATGCCATCTCACTTATGTGTTATGGTTGAAACATTGATATTGATTGTTCTAGCACAAACAGTTGTGGGAGTGAATTCACTTTCAGAAGCTGATAAGATAGGCACTTTGCCTGGGCAGCCACAAGTCAAATTCCAGCAATATGCTGGTTACATTACAGTAGATGAGAAGCAGAAGAGAGCTTTATTTTACTACTTTGTTGAAGCAGAAGTACAACCAGCTTCTAAGCCACTTGTTCTATGGTTAAATGGAGGTATATATGTGCTGTTATGGATAGAGGTGCTTTTGTTTTAATTTATCAAACGTAGGTTGGTTGAAGTGACAAAGGAATTTGGTTCTCCATAAGTAAGGAGACTCAATATGGATTTAGATACCATTTATGTTACTACTTTTCTTTTCATCTTTTGTTAATCTGGATGAAGCTTTTATATTAATTGGAAGCAGTTAATAAGGTGCTTTATGGGTTTTGAAGGGCCTGGTTGTTCCTCTGTTGGGGCTGGAGCTTTTGTTGAGCACGGCCCTTTCAAACCAAGTGAAAATGGTCTTGTGAAGAATGACTATAGTTGGAACAAAGGTAATTCAACAACTCTGCTACTCTTAATTTGTAGTTCAAAGTATGCTAACTTGCAAAATTTCTTTGTTGCAGAGGCAAATATGCTGTACGTGGAATCTCCGGCTGGTGTCGGTTTCTCCTACTCTGCCAATAAATCTTTCTATGACCTTGTGAACGATGAAATAACAGGTTCTTCTTCCACTTCATTTTGTGTAAAATAGCTTTTAAACAGTGCCCAGAGAATCATAATTTAGTTATTAGTAAGCTTGATTGAAGTGCTTAACAAGTCTTATAATTTAGTTTGCATTGAAATTAGCCTTAATTACCCTTTTACTCTCTCTAATTTGGATACTCGTATAATTTTGCTCTTAAATTGTTTTGCGCTAACTAAGTCGCTGTAGTTTTAAAATTATAGATATTTGATCCTTCATCAATTTTTTTTTCGACTTTAAATCCTCAAATTGCTATTTTCTATTGAGAAATTTGAAGGTTTATGATAAATGTGGGATACAAATTGATTTTAAAGGTTTAGAATCATAAAATTTATAATTTGAAGAGGAGAAAGTTTGATGCTATTTTATGTATAATTAGATGTGTTGCTTAATATTTTTTGGGAGAAAATAATTTAATTAGTTCAACTTATAAATATTCTGATTAGAAAGCAAAATTTGTGGACTTTAGGTAGTAAAAACTTATAGGGAGACTAAATTTGCTTAATGTAATCCAAATTAGAGGTAAAACTGCAATTAATCCTTGAAATCATGATATCATGTTTTTCAAGATCTGATGTGTTTTCCATGTCATACAGCAAGGGATAATCTTGTTTTCTTACAGCATTGGTTCACTAAATTCCCAGAGTACAAAAACAATGACTTCTTTATTACAGGGGAGAGTTATGCAGGTAATATATATCTTTGTGGTAAATGAATGATAATTTTTATTTGGAGCTACTGCAGTAGGATAATGCATACCTCGGGCTTGTTTTCAGGTCACTATGTACCCCAACTTGCACAACTCATTGTTCAAACCAAGACAAAATTCAATTTAAAGGGAATAGCGGTGAGTACCCAGAAGAGAAAATTTTGATAAGAGAAATGCTTGCAGACACTATTTTGAACACACTCTTCAGCTCAATTATTGATCAGTTTTTGAAAAAGTTAAAACTATTTTGAAACATCATGGTTAATTCGAACAGAACAATTTATTCATAATGTTTTATATTTACAGATAGGGAATCCTCTTCTGGAATTTAACACTGATTTCAACTCCAGAGCTGAGTTTTTCTGGTCTCACGGACTAATATCAGATTCAACCTACGAAATCTTCACTAAAGTATGCAACTATTCCCAAATTAGGAGACAGCATCAAAGTGGGAAACTTACCCCGGTTTGTGCGGGAGTAAATAAACTAGTGTCATCAGAGGTTAGCAGATACATTGATACATATGATGTTACTCTTGATGTCTGTCTATCATCAGCAGATCAACAGGCTTATGTTCTGAATAAATTAACTCAACTGGTATGCACATGCTCCATCCATTTTCTGACCATCTTAGTTCTCTTTTGCTTATTTTCATTTGCTTTTTTGCTTGCTTTTTCATCCATTGTATAGCAAGAGGGAGCGAAGATAGATGTTTGTGTGGAAGATGAAACTATCACATACTTGAATAGGAAAGACGTGCAGGAAGCTCTCCATGCTAAGCTCGTAGGGATCACCACATGGTCAACCTGCAGCGAGTATGTTTTTTTAGCCTTAAAGATGCCATAGCGCTGATTACACAGCCTTTGTTTCTTTCTGATTTATATCTAAAATTTAGTTTTTGAGGTTATTGGTAGCTGATGTTAGACACCTTCACATTGGTGCGTGAATTTTAGAGCATTTTAATTTCACTTGGAGAATGAACAAAATAGAACGTTCCATTCCATTTTATGTGCGTGCCATAGGCTCGAAAACAGGGTCAGAGTGCATAAAAATATTCTTTTATATGAGACAACTGGGGAGCTATTAATACATTCCCTTTTGTTACAGTGTTCTCAATTATGACATGCAGAATCTAGAGATTCCTACCATTTCTATTATAGGGGCAATTGCTAAGACAGGTATCAGGGTTCTGGTATACAGGTAGGAGTTTTTTTTTATTTTTTTTATTTCATTTATTTTACATATTTTCTATCACCAACATCGTAATTATCTCTTTGCATTCTATCATTGTTTTCATCAAGACAAACCACTTTTAAGTAAGCAAAGCAATTTCTCTGTCTACAGTGGAGATCAGGATTCAGTCATCCCACTACTTGGGACACGATCCCTTGTAAATGGAATAGCCAAGGAATTTGGATTGAATACTACCGTGTCCTATAGAGCTTGGTTTGAGGGAAGACAGGTTAAGACTTTCTCTCACTTGGAATTTAATTTTTTGAAATATGTTAAACGTAATTTTAAAAAGTAAATTTAAAAATCATTTATAAATTACTTCCGTTGCTTAAATTGAAAATAATAGTACTATACGATTGACTTTTAAGATTAAATTTTAATAATATATTAAATAATTTGAAAAATTAAAAAAAAAAAACAAAAAAAGAGATAGTACAAATATAATTTTGTTAAGGGCTTCACTGCATTTTTATGTGAAGCTTCAACTCCACCTTTTGGTGATATTTTTATCAGGTGGCTGGGTGGACACAATTATATGGAGACATGTTATCATTTGCCACTATAAGAGGAGCAGCTCACGAGGCTCCGTTTTCACAACCAGAGAGATCATTAGTGCTGCTAAAAGCATTTTTGGAAGGAAAGCCTCTTCCGGAACCATTCTCTTAAATGTGAATTGATAGATAACACAGCACAGGTGTTCTAAGCTCAATGAGTAAAGAAACTCACCTAATACCGATTATTGTCATTGGATCCCCTTTCACTTGTTATCAACATTAATACTTCTAACTTTCTGCTGTTCTTTCTTTCCGCACAATGAGGAAATGCTACATGTACTGCCACATACCATAAAATATATTTGATCCTCCGAATGTTCCAACTAATTTATTGGTTTAACTTGTTGTTTATGGTGAAAAATGAATATTTGTAAACAAATAATCCAAAGATCAATCTGGGGATTGGATTTAGGTCCTCTTTGGGTTCTTTTAAGTGTGTTGTTAACGAGATGCTCAAATTAACGGCGTAAAAGAGTATTAAGCAAGAATAGGGAATAGTAATTATGCAGAATTGAATCAAACGTAGATGTTTTTACAAAAATGTAGTAAGCAGGAAATAAACAGCGTACAAAGATATAAACAGCAAGAATTTAAATTAAAATGCGGAAGGGTAAATGTGCAGGAATGTAAACGTACGACTCCTCACAACGGCGAACAACGGCCACCATGGGTCTCCTAACATAGCTGGTGTCTGGCGCGGTGCAGGGTTTCAGCGTCTCAGAGAGTTTAGGTGCGGTGTTTGGGTGCAAAAAGTCGTCCCTTGTAAAATGGCCCTTTGGAGTATTTATAGACATGAAGACCACCACCGTTCTCCTCTTTTTGCGGGCACTTCTTAGTAACTTCCTTCAACTGTTGATGACCATTACCCACGATTGTTTGTGATCGTGTTGTTGGTTGCGGCTTTTTCCGTAACTGCTATAGCCCATGATCTCCTTTGTGTAGTGGTGAAATGTTGATAACTGGTGGTAACCGCTTTTGGATTTTGCAATGACTTGTTCTATCTTTCGAGTATTTCTGGGAAAAACCTGAGAGACTCACTTAGTGTTATGGCCTTAGAATGATTTCTTCTTGACTTCTTTTTTCGAGCAATTCTGAAGTTTTGAGAGCTTGTCTTGGTCTTGTGGACTTAGAATATTTTCTTTGCTTATTTCTGTTTCTCGAGCAATTTTGGAGGGACTTCGGAGCTTAACCGGGTTTTGTGGACTGAGAACATTTTTTGACCACTTCCTATTTTTCGAGCAGTTTTGGGTGTCAAGGACTTGAAACATCCTCGAAACTCCTCGAAAAAGCCTTTAGTTTTATGGACTTAGAATATTTTCTTGTCAGTCCTGCTTTTCGAGCAGTTTTGGGTGTCAGGGACTTGGAAGCTCCTCAAAAACGCCTCGAAAAAGCCATCAGTTTTTGTGGACTTAGAATATTTTCTTGTAAGTCCTCCTTTTCGAGCAGTTTTGAGTATCAGGGACTTGGAAACTCCTCAAAACGCCTCGAAAAGCCATCAGTTTTGTGGACTTAGAATATTTTCTTGCCAGTTCTATTTTTTGAGTAGTTTTGGGTGTCAGTGACTTGGAAACTCCTTAAAACTTCTCGAAAAAGCCTTCAGTTTTGTGGACTTGGAATATTTTCTTGTTTTTCAAGCAGTTTAGAGAAAAATCAACAATGTGACAAAAAATCTCCTAACATAGCTCGAAATGTGTCCCTAAAAAACTAAAGGTTTTAGATAATCTCCCAATATTCTCTTATGTTCAGCCTATTTTTTAGCTCCTTCTTGACCCTCAAAATTTTGTCGAATTGTAACTTCCTTCAAGATGATTTTTAACTTGGAAAAGTTTCCTTATCCTAAACACTTGTAAACATGAAATGTGATTTTAATATTATTTAGAATTTGGAATTCACATACGCGGGTAAGCAACATTACTAGTATGGTATCCAAGGCAACGGAGAGCATTTGACTAAAACATTCGCTTTCTATCCGCCACGGGATTTGCTTAAATAAAATTTTTAAACATATAAGGACAAAAACTTTTTAAGAATAAATATTGTTGATGTATTATTTTAAATAATTTTTCATTCTTATAAATCCATTTTAATGAATGAAAAAGGAATGTTTTTCTAAAAGACAATTTTATAGCTCCACTTTCATTCACCATTATATGGTTAAATTATACATTCAATTTCTAAAGTAGACACTTGTTTACAAGTTAATCTTTATAATTAATAAAGTTACATTTTAGTTTACGTACAAATACTTTGTTATGTTTTAGTCTTTGTCATTAATAATGTTATTGTAATGTCTTTACTTTATTATTCAAATTATGTAATAATTTATAATAAAAAGAGAAAAATAAAATGAATTTTCAATATTGTAACACCCTAATTTTTTGTTTTTAAAATAGAAGAATTATTTTTTAAAATTTCTTTTAGCTTTAGCTCGAGCAAAATTTTTTAGCTCAAACGAGAATGGAAAAGAATTGTCCATCTAAATTTTAGCTCAAATGAAAAATGTCTTGTTCAAGCAAGAATGGGCGCAAAAAATAGGAGCTCTCTCGTGGATTTTCGCTCAAGTGAGAATAGTCTCACTCAAGCAAAAATATCAGCAAATGTGCAGTATATTTTGTCTAGTTTTCTCACTCAAGTGAAAATCCTTGAGAAAAAGGGGTATATAAGTAACTTTAATGTTTTAAAACTTGTATTATAAGCCAAGCAACCATTCCTTGTCTCACACTCTGATTCCCCAATTCCCTTCCACGGCTAAAACATGTTAAGAACTCTAAACCTTTTCAAATTTGAACTTGGATGTCTTTTTTCTCGTGATCCCAAGTAAGTTCCTTGAAACTTAATCCTTCAATATCACTTGTATTTCTTCATTTTCTCCTTTCTCAAAAGTAATATACTTTGAAATATATAGGAAGAACTTGGTCTTTGGATGATATCTTGCATAAAACTCTTCACAAATCATCTCATCAAAGTAAGGAGAGCTTTATCCCATCGTTAAAATATTGTATATATTTTTTGCTCATGAAAGTATAATAATGTAATGCTTTACTTCATAAATTTATGTTTAAAATTAGATTTTTGACTATTGTTAAAGTTGATGATGCATGTTTGATTGTTCTTGAGTGATTGAAATGTGTTTTCTTGAAATATATACAATTTGGACTTAATCCGAAGGTGCTTGATTTAAGCACTATTGTAACACCCTAATTTTCATTTGCATTTTCTTATTTTCAGAATGAAAGAATTTTTTTAAAAGAAGAATAAAAGAATATTCCTTTTAGCTCAAGCAAAAGTTTCTCGTTCAAGCAAAAAAGGATTAAGCGAGAACTATGTCACTCAAGCAAAAATTTCTCACCTATATTCTCACTCAAGTGAGAACTATGTCACTCAAGCAAAAATTCATAACAGAAATGGGTAGCTCTCTGCCATGTTTTCTTTCAAGCGAAAATACTTTCACTCAAGCAAAAATATGAACAGAAAAGTAGTAATTTTTGTTTGATTTTCTTGCTCAAGCGAGAATCCTCGAGAAATATGGGTATTTAAGTGATTCTGGCTTTCTAAACACACATATCTCAAAGCAAGAAACCACACTCATCTCTTTCTTAGAGAAAACACCTTTGAACTATAAATCTCTTTCAAATCTAAGCTTAGATATCTATTTCTCTTGATTTCAAGTAAGTTTCCAGAGCCTAGCTCTTCTATTTCACTTTTATTTATCTATTTCTTCTTTTCATAATAGTACTCTACTCTGTGATGTTAGGAAGAGCTCTAGTTTTTGAGTGGTATCTCTGGTCAAAATGTGAGCTTTCCTCTAAGATCTCATGAAGAACTTAGTCTCAGAGACCTATTTCCATGTAAGGAGAGTTAATCTTAAACCTTAAGTTCTATTTTTATGTTGTAGCTTGAAAAACCCAAAATACCCTATTTTAAATAGTAAATCTAAAGTATTTTCTTGAAAATATAATGTTAAAAATCTATCTTTGGCATGGAAAACTTATGGTTTAATTTAAGAATCACCTAAAACAAAATTTAATGATAACAATTTGAACGGATAATGTCTTAAGAAATTTTTATAGGCAAGTTACTCATGATATTTATATATGTACTGGTGATATTGTGAATTATTAATTTTTAATAATATATATGTTAGATAATGAAAAAGTAGAAAATGTTAAACTTTAGGATAGAAGATCTCACTAAGACCAAGAAAGTATGATTTCTAGCGATATACTAATGAATTGTACGATTGGTCTGAGTCTGAAGGTGTCTGACCTTCGGCACTTTGTATAAAATTGTATGATGATAGGTTTCTTTATTCCACCAATATGTGCCTGAATAAGATCTTTGACTGTTGATAAGTGCCATTCCATAGTGGTTTTTGGTATACATTTTGGCACTTATTTGGGTCCTTTCTAACTAGTTTATACTTCAAAGTCCTTTTAATTTGATGCAATTTACAAGTCATACCAATTAAAGTCTAGCTACTTAAATGTAGTAGTTATTTACCTTTGTTTATGTGATTATATAAAGGCATTTGATCATCTTTTCTTGTGTCAAATATTAAGGGCAAGACATGATGGAATGAAGAGTGAAAAGAAGAGAAGTAAAGTCCCCAAAACTAGCAACTCTCGCCTGAGCGAGCTATGGGTTGCTTGAGCGAGAATGTCAAGATACAATGTCTGCATTCTGCCACGTCCTCGCTTTAGCGAGAGCGAGAGGAGAAGCTTGCCTGAGCGAGATAATTTGGGACTTTCAAAGCGCCTTCGTATGAATCTCGCTTGAGCAAACCATTTCTAGCTCAAGTGAGAATTTATTAATTGAGAATCAAATGCCATTGACCTAACTTAGTTTTGGGAATGCAGAGCAAGCGGAGGATATGAGAAGGTGGCTACACCATTGAAGAGCTAATTTCTATCTGTCATGACTCTTTTTTTTATAAGAAACCGAGAACATTATTTCTACATCTCTTACTTATTTGACATAGATAGATAATAGAGATTATAACTATAAAATTCACTTCTCATTACCTTACAACAAATATCCAACAGAATAACATAATATTATATTTAGTTCATAATACTAAAAAATACATTAAGTTTTTACTACATTATTCCCTCTATATGAGGTCTCAAAATATAATGAAAAGGACTTTAATGCACAATAGTTTGAGATTCTAGGAATGAGTTTTAATTTATTGTATACTTAATAACTTATCATTCAATAAATATATCTTAGAATATGGGGTGAGAGAAATCCAACGAGTGAATATAATGGGAGTGCATCGTAAGACCTTGGTATTTGTTCAAATTATATTATGACTAAAA